GTACTAACCTGTGAAGTTGGCGCCTTGATGCAGGTACCTCGAAGATGGAGCTGGAGCTATGGCGCCACAGGTAAGTCCCACTGGCCTCCACCAGTCATCTCTCCCAACTCTACTACTACCACCAACTAGCGCCCAGCGCTGAAGACTACTGCTATGGCTACTAGCGCCCAGCGCTGAAGACTACTGCTAGCGCTAAGCTACTCTGCAGCGCTCCTGAGTGCTGCGGCCGAATCCTGAAGACTACTCCTGCCTACTGTCCAACTACCTACCCGTGAAGTGCATGGGACTCCCTATGTACTACACGGCCTGCCTCCTGACTGCAGGGCGAGGCAGTCCAGGAGGCTGCTCTTGCCAATGCCGCAGGGAGTCAGGGGCTGCCGCTGCAGCTCCTGCTTGAGGCTGTCGTGGGAACAGGCTAAAGATAGCCTGTTCCCAAAACCCTGGTTTTGTGCCTAAGTGTTAGGGTAGGTAGATCTTATGAGGGCCCGGAAGTGGCCCTCCGTTTCAGGCTGAAAAGTGGCCCCTCGTTTTTCAGTCTTTCAGGCTGAAACGACAGGGCCCTGTAAGCCCTTATTTCTAGGCTTTTAGGCTGAGAATGCGGGACGGTCCCTGCAGGCCCGTGTGGCTACGCAGTATGCCACACGAGGACAGGGTCGGGATCAGGGGAGCTGAGACGAAGTTGATGAGGTAAGGGGGAAGGTAGGCGGGGGGGGCCAGGGGTATGAGCGGATGGGCTAGATGCGGGGTTGTCTTGGATAGGGTGAGATCCGAAGCATGCTTCATCTCTTGTTTTGACTGCCTCACCCGGGAGGGCTCTAACCATGGTGGTTTTGCCGCCCTGATGGATAATTCTGTTTTCCGAAGTGAGGGGGGTGTTTGGCCACCCCAACCTGAACTTTTTTTTTTTTTTTTTGAAACAAAGGCGGACGCGGCAGGTTTTGAGTTCGAAAAGGCACAGAAAACACGAAATGGCACTAAAGACATGTCCGCAGTTGGAAAAGGGAAAAAAAACAGGGCCGAGCGGTAGTAGCAGGCCCCCGGTTCGAAAAGGCCTGTATGACTGTCCCGATGCGTCCCAGGGCTTCCCAGGCTGTCCCAGGCTGCAAGGGTACCCGTAACAGTCTGCTCCCAGCTACGTGGCCATTGCAACGAGGAGCGTCCGTTTTCGAAGGAGGCCCACATCCCACCTTGCCATCCCCGTTCCCTCCATCCCCCGGTTCCCCTTCGCCGCCTCGTCTTGTCATCCCCTTTCCCTCCTTCCCCCTCCGCCCTATGGAGGATAGAACAGGACGGTGTGAAGTGCAGGGTCGCGGTCGGAGGAACGTGGCGGGTGCACCTCTGCTCTCTCTCTCTCTCTCTCTCTCTCTCTCTCTCTCTCTCTCTCTCTCTCTCTGTGTGTGTGTGTGTGTGTGTGTGTGTGTGCGAGACAGGCCCGTTCGCCCACGAATACAGCGCACCCTCATTATGGATGTACCGGGCCGGAAAGATAGCTTGTGTTCTCTGGCTTGTTCATTCGTTCGATAAAAAATGTACAATAGCTATCCTTCCGGCCCGATACAGCCATTATGAGGGAGCGCACCCTCTCTCTCTCTCTCTCTCTCTCTCTCTCTCTCTCTGTGTGTGTGTGTGTGAGAGAGAGACAGGCGCGCTCGCCCCCGACTACAGCGCACCCTTACTATGGCTGTATCGGGCCGGAAGAATAGCTGTTGTACATTTTTTATCGAACGAATGAACAAGCCAGAGAACACAAGCTATCTTTCCGGCCCGGTACATCCATAAGGAGGGTGCGCTGTATTCGTGGGCGAACGGGCCTCTCTCTCTCTCACACACACACACACACAC